TCCATTTGTTTCCCAGCCTACTACTACTATTAGGAGGCCACACTGCCCTTTCTCTTCCTGGGCCCTAAGGTCTCATCCTTCTCTTGACTGAGAGACAGGGATCGGGGAGAGGAAAGGGGAGATCTCAGGATCAAAAGGAGAACCACACTGGCTGCGAAAAGTTTTCAGGGTGTCAGTGGGTTCCTGATTACCTTGGAAGCCAAGGTTACTGCAAGGAGAGACTTGGAGGTTGGATTAGCAGGGAGCATACAGGTGGGGAAAGTGGCAGCAACAATGGGATTTCAGGATCATGAAGGTGATGGAGAGTAGTGGGGGGGATTCCTCTATAGCACTTGGAAATGCCTCACAGATAAGTGTCGACATGAGGCCGTTTGCTGCAGAATTATTGTGCTGGGGGGTGAGAGGAAGATAGATGGCAAGATGTTCAGAGTAGAATGGGGTTAGCACAGCAGGGTGAGTGGTCTCACGCAGGCTCCAGGATGACAGTGGGTGGAGGTCTTCAGGAAGTAACGGGGGGAAGAGGGGGGACTAACTGGAGTAAGACTTGAAAGAGCTGGAAAGGGCCTTAGCGATGGTGCTAGTCCAGCCCAGTGCTCCTAGTGCAGGAAGAAACCAAGACCCAGAAAACTGTGACCTAGTGGGTGGCACACAGCAAGAACCAGGACCAGAACCCAAATCTTTTAACTCCCAGGCCTGGCTCTTTCTCACTGAGTTCAGAAAACACTGAGACTCTTAACTCTTGGTAGTTATGATTTGGTTTGGCCCAGTAGTTTTATAATTCTGGTACAAACTAGTTTATTAAGTGTTTATTTGGGGAGTTGAACCAGTTAGTGGGGTTTAGTCCATGTCTCTGAGAAGTATTTCTGTCAAGTTCTGAACTGTGACATTCCATTCTCCTTTTGGTCTGATTTGTTGGTCACCAGCAACTGCCGGTACATTTACCTACACAGCCCTCCCTCCTTTCTCTCTGAAGGATGATTATAGCCAGAGTGGTGAAACGAAATCTGGCTGCTAGCCTGCTAGGCCGTCCCTGCACTCAGAGGCTCAGATGTTGTGATCCCACAAAACGGGAATGAATGACGCCAAGGCGGAGACACTGCTGTCCTTAGCTTTGTTTTACATTTATGGCTGCGAGTCTGAAAGCAGCTGCTCTCCTCACAACGCAGGACAGCAGAGTGCACAGGGAAGTTGTGTGCTCCTTTGGTGAGGCGTCTGGGCCTGTCCGGGCTTATTCACGCTTGCATCACGCACACTCTCAGGGCCTTTCTGACCAATCCCTGTGCCTCTTTGAGAAGAAACTGAGGTCCCAGGTCATAGTGATAAAACAGTATAGTTGTCTTTGCTGTTGGTTAGCCTCATCTACTGGAATGGTGTTGGCCTTTATTTGGACGGGTTAAATCAAAACTAACACAAAATGGCCACAGTGATGCTCCCAAGGGTGTAGTACCCTCTGGCTGGCCAGGAGCCTGCGGGCGACCTCCTGGCCTCACATTGTTCTCCTGGACCATGCACATCCTAACAGGCGCTGATGGGGGCTTGGCCTTCCTGCTGTCTTGTTCAGCACACAGTTCTCACCACCACCCTCCCCTGGCTCACCCCCACTTCTAATAACCACCCCACCGAGGGCTGTAGATGACTAGCTCTCCTTGGTTAGGAAGTGGTCTTACGTGTTCTAAGGGTAAGTCTAGACCGGAATGGGAAATCTGAGTCAGTCTAGACCAGTGGTTCCTAAGTGTCAGTTGGGTGACTTGCTACATGAGGATACCCTGAGGCACTCTCCAGGCAGTTCTGGTGCACAGCTAGATTTAGGATATCTACTGGGGTTGTTGATACCAGTTGTATCTTTCAGTTTGGCTGAGACTCTTTTAAATAGACCTCAGAGACAAAAGGACAGCTCTGTTACATTAGTACAACCCTTTACAATATGCAAAAACGGCTCCCCCCTGTGATTTTATCGGACACAGGATAACCTTTTAGACCACAGGACAGGGATGATTACCCCAGCCTTGCAGGTGAGGAAACTGGGCCTTGGAGAGGTTGGTCACAGTTAATAAGTGACATAATTTTCAAAGCCACCTGTTTCACACGTTATGTCATTTAAACCTAGGGCCTAAGCCCAGAACAGGACCTAACCTTTCACCTTTGGTTTCACCTGTACGCTTCCTAGAAGGATGATCCGTCTTACAGTTCCCGTGTGTTAGGGATTAGTCCTGGCTTCCTCGCTCTCTGGGATAGAGATCTCGTCAGGGTGGAGTGTCATACAATATTAACATTAGGTATCATTTTCATTCCTCGTGCCCCAGAAGCCAGCAGGTGCAGGTTGGTGTTCCTCGCCAGCGCAATGACAGGAGCCCTCTGGGGCAGGTAGATTGACTTTATTTCAGATTTTATAATCAATTTAAATGGTACTAATTCGTTGGATAATGGTGTTTTACATTTCCGAAGACGTTTAGTTGGCATGTATAAAAAAGCCCACAAGCGTTTGCTAAGCAGGTGCAACTGAAATCAAAAGATGAAATCATCATTATTATGATTGCTTCCCATGGGCAGAGCTACCCCGCAGCCCCAGGTCCTGTGGTCTTTAACTATTTTGGTGGGTGGGGGAAGAGATGCTCTGTTTGCCTCTGGTAGAATTCCTGGCCATTTCAGATCTGTCCTCTTTATCTTGCTAAACCCTTTCTAATGGGACGTCAGGATTGGATACTCTACCTTTGAAGCCTTTGTCCATAATGTATGTGTTCTGACGTCTATCCATTCCACAAGCACCTGCATAAAAATAGTACAAGGAAAGAAAAATATGCTGTGAGTGAGGCACTTAAGCTGCATGTGTTCTTGCTTTATTTCACTTTCTCCCCTACCCCGGAAATACACAGTTCTTTAATGCTAGAAAATTATTCTGGGCTTAATCTGCTCTAAATCATTTCGACCATACAGGAATTTCTTAAAAGCTCCTAAGCATTAGGGGTGAGCTACAGCACCCCCTGACATATTTAGCAATCCTGTTCTTCAACCTTCACTCTGAGGGAGTTTCTTCCAGGAGGTGATCAAAAGCAGTACTGGTGCCACCTACAGTCACTGTGGGTGAAGTTCCAGGCTCCAAACATACAGGATACAGAATGAATCAGAACCAGTTCTTAGCTTGGGGGATGGGTTTGTGACATTCCAAATTCCAGGTCTGTTGGATTTGGGAATGGGGTTGAAGACTGTTTCTCACCTCTTAGCTCTGGTCCCAACTCCTCCCTTCTGGATCCGAAGCTCAGCTGAGGGGAGCCAGAGGGAGGTGGACTGGTAGCTGAGGTTCTTGATTTTTTTAGTCATCTCTGTAGGATGGGTAATCATTCCCATCCACCGTCAGCTCTCCTAGTTATCTACCCCCGCTGTCCTGCCCAGGGTTTTTTGGGGAGGACCATGTGCACATAGTTGAGAGTTGTCTTTGAACAGTATTACCAGTGTTTTTCAGTCCCAAGGATTTCTTTTTCCCTTTCGGCTGAAACACTTCATCCTAGGCTCCCACAATGCATGGTCCTGAGCCTCACAGCCAGAGGCAGGAAGGACATAAAGCTTCAGGGACCAAGCTCAGGTTCTTTGCTGCTAGTGATCCCAGAAAAGAAATGATCTGACATTTTTAGTTTGGGACAGTAATGACTTGGGCTCACAAAGCCCCACCCCCCACCCCCAGCTTTTAACTGAGGATGCAGTATCAGGCAAGGCATGCAGCAAGCGCTTACTAAAGTACAGCTTGACTCCACTTGACTCTTCCCAGTTTCTGGCACTGAAGCCCAACCCTGGCTGTTTAGATACTTCCTCGTACCTCCTCGGTATAATAAGATTCCTTAGTTGAATTTGCAGGAGTCTATTCCTATCTCCCTGCCTTCCACACATGACTGAGTGATAGAGCAGAACCAGGTCCAAGTTTTTCTCAAGTTTGCTCTTCCTCTAAAGGGCCTAGGTACGTGACTGTGACCATCTGTATCCCTGGCACCAGTTCAGCACTTTATACCAGACCCGGGCTTCCTTTGCCCTCCCTGAGGGAGCAAGACTAGGCTGTTGTTAACTTTGCTCCTTTTTATAGAGCAGGAAGTAGGCTCAAAGCAGGGCAGTGATTTGTCTGAGGCCACACTTAAGTGAGAAGTTGAGTTGCAACTAGAACCCAGATGTCCCCAAGTATTCTCTCCCATTGGCTGCCAGCCTGCCGGAGTGTAAGCCAAAAAAATGACAGTGTGGTGAGGCTCTGGCTACAGTGGTTGACGAGTGAGATCGCAAAGCAGGGAGAAATCTGAGCTGAGCCCAGAGGATGCTCCCATGTGGAAGAGGTACAGGGTGGTGGTCGTGTGTGTGTGTGTGTATAGTGGGGTTGTATTTGGTGGAGTTACTGAATGTCCTCGGCCCTGCTCGGGGTTCACAGCCAAGAGCACAGCCTCCTGGGTATAAGCCCAGGGTTTTGGCAGCCCATGGCTGCTTAGCAGGTAGATGAATTCAGACCCTTCACTCTTCACAGTGCTACTGGACCCAGGGACCCGCAGGGGTTGGAAGAGCTGCGTTTCACTTGAGCTGTGGAAACCAGCTAGAGCCTGAATTCAGGCCCAGGTTGTCAGTGTGCCCTCTAGGGCAGGGCTACTTTGTATCAAGGCCGAATTCTCTGTTCGTTCACTGCACTCATACCTATGGCACCTACTTCTGTAACTCCTACCCCC